ACCAACAGTAAAATGTTGTGTCCACCAGGTGCGCTGGCTGTGCGAACTTGCGCTCTAGCGCAGCGTCCGCAGCAGGGCGGCATCGGGGGTGGAGCTGAGCTGCACGCCAGAAGCGGCAGCGATGCAGCGCCATGGCGGCGCGCGAGGAGGGAGGGAGGGAAGCGGGCGAGGGGGGACAGGGGCGAGGAGAGGAAAGAGGAGCGCCCCGCCCGCGGGCGACCCCCGGGCGGGCGGGGCGGCAGCAGCCCGCAGCCCAGAGCCGGCGGCGTTGCGGGGGAGCGTGCGGGGCGCCCACGGCTGCGGCGTCCCTGCGGTACCTGAGTGGCGGCTGCGCTGCGGGACGGCGAAACTGAGGCCACATGGCCGGCGCGGGTGCCCAGAAATAGCCAGGCCAAGTCAGTGAGGAAGTCCGTGCAAAAGCTGCCCTGGCCGAGCGGGTTGCACGTGCCTCTTCCTTTGCCCTTCCCGTCTCACTTCTCGCAAACGCTATTCCATCCTTCGACAAACAAGGCACCGCATTCCCGCTTTAACTAGTCGGTTGACCACTTCAGGCCACGTTTCCCTGGCGTTGGTCTGGTGGTTCCATGCCTTTTCCCAGTTGACGGCCTGGCGGGGCTGCGCGCACGGGCAGCCGCTGGGGTCGTTCTCGCCAACGCAGCCCAGGTCGGCGCGGGAGGGCCTGTCTCCTTCTGGCGCAACCTCCGAACGGGCTGCGTGCGCTACGTCGACTGTTGAGGAGGAGGCTCCTGTTCCTTGGCAGTCCGCCCAAGCACTGCTGCAGGTGGATCTGGCGTCGTGGGGGTGCCCAGGGGGCTCTCGCGCGTGCGTCCGAAGAGCCTTCCACACCCGCTCGTCGGAAGAGGCGGGAGTTGCTGCTTCTGGTCCACCGGAGGAGCCACCGCTTGGGGGGCTGCTGCTGGCCGGCCCGCCTGTCGCTGGCCCTGGCGCCTTCGCGCCGGCCAGGGATGGGCCCTTGTCCTCCTGCGTGCGCCTGATGAGGGCGCGGGCTGCGTCCTTGCCTTCTGGGCTGTCCTCAGGGATGACCCATCCCAGGAGCACTTGGGCCGCGCTGTCCCAGAGCGCACCGGGCGGTACCTCTGCGCCGAATGTCTCCCGCTGCTGGTCAGGTAGGGGGGACCAGGCCAGGGGTTTTGCAACCGGGGTCGTCGCGGGCCATGGGAGTGTCGCCCTCTCTGAGGTCAGGCATCCGCCCGGAGAGCTGCCAGCACACCTGGACGGGGCGTGTCGGCGCGACTCCTGTACGTGATGGGTTCGGCGCGGCCTGGTCCAAGGCCGCGGGATTGGGCACTGCGGAGGGGTCTGGGCTGTGCTCGGGGGCTGGAGCCTCTAACTCTGGTGGGCTGTCTTCCAGCTGATGGCTAGGCGAATAGTCGGGGGGCTCTGAGGCGGCCAGAGGTCGGCCCTCGCTGGCGGCAGCGTCTGTGTGGACGGCGGCGGCGGTGCCGTCCGCCTCTGTAGTCGGCCGCTGGGGGGCCAGGGGGGCGGCTGGAGAGGTGTCCAAGGGAGGTTCTGGCGCCAGCTGCACCTCCCTGTGGGCCGGTCGCCGTAGGGGCCGGTGGTTCAGAGGCCAGGTTGGCGTTGAGCCACCTGACGGTAGCTGGGGCTGCAGCGGCGTTGCTGTCTGTTGCCGCGTCAGAGGCGCCCCTGTCCCTGGCGCGTGGAGCCAAGTTCCGCGCGCCTTTCTGCGGAGCGTCGGTATATGCCTGCTCTCTGGCCTGGGCCGGTGGGCCAGCTGGAGGGGCTGACTGCCCCTCGTCAGGCGCTGCTGCTCCTGGGGTCCCAGGTGGGGCCGCAATTGTCCCGCAGGGGGGAGCGTCTGCTGGGTCGGTAGTTGACTAGCAGACGAGAGCTCGTGTCCCGAAACCCGTCGCCAGCGAGGAACCTCGTGAGGTGCAGCTGGCTGCATCGGCCGGGATCATTGCCCAGCGCGGGGCAGGTGGAGACCAAGAGCGTCAGCCACTGTGGGAGCAGGTTGTCCTCGCGCGGGCCTCCACGCCCTTTTTGTCGGATCAGGTGTGTAACCAGGTGTACCAGGGCAGCGCGCCGGCCGTTCCACGGGTACGTGTCTGGCACTCCACTTTCTGGGACCGTCTGTCCGTAACTTGTGCCCAGAAGCGCCTGACATTCTGCTCCTGTCCAGGAGCGGGGGTCGAGGATCACTGCCGCAGCTCCGTCCGCGAGCCCTTGCCGGCGCTTGGCTTTGGCCAGTCGCGCCAGGCGGATTCGATGCCCTCGTGCAGCTTGTGGGCGTGCTGGATCATGATGTGCACGATGGTGCAATTCTTCTTATTGCCCTGTGGCGGCGTAAGTTCGACCTGGCTGGCGGAGCGGAGCGACAAGACGGTACGGTCAGCCAGGGGGGGGCAGGGCGGCGGCTGACGAGGGGCCAGGTCTGACAGGGTGGCTTCGGCGTCCGCTGGGTTCGGTAGGGGGGGAACCGCAGTGGAACATCGGGCAGGGCGTGCACGGGTCAGACGGCTCCATGCTTCAGCAGGCGAAGTGAAGAGACAAGGGGAAGGGAGAAGGACGGAGCACGAAAGAGATTTGCAGGATGGGGATTGGGAGCAGGAGCACATGCGGCAGAACCAAACGGGCGTGTCAGGCGGGCGGACCCTTACTGGCGGGTCGGGCGGGCGGGCCCAGACGGCCGCGCCGCAGACGCGCCAATCCAACATGAACTGCGAGAAGTTTCGAGCGATAGCGCAATTCCCAAGCGAGAGCGTGGTTCTTGAGTGTCGAAGGCGCGGCGTTTCAATGAATTGCGAGGCAGTACCATGCGAGAGCGCGAGTCCTTGATAAAGTTTCAGGACGACCCGCGCGAGAGTGCGATTTTGAAATTGTGAGGAAGTATCAAGCGGGAACTGCTGTTGTGGCAAATCGAGGGCCAACCAGACAATATGAAGCGCCAGGTCCTCTGTAAAAACCAGGTGCGAGCCCCATAAGGAACACTTGAACTCAAAAACAGAATGGGCACAGGGCAGGGAGGAACAACACTACTCATTCTTTACGCATGACGAATTTAACAACAACAACAACAACAACAACAACAACAACAACAACAACAACAACAACAACAACAACAATCATTTAAGACTGGGGACACTCCGTTCTCACCAGTGCCAGGGTTTTCATAGGAGGCGGGCAATACCCCCACTTTGTGGGGGGGCCGGTTCAAGCTCTACCAAATTTCCAAACGACTCTTCGCCACCACCCACACCCAGCTTCCCGCCCTATGACGTTCGGACACTTCACTTCGTGGCATGCGGACGACCGTGGCTACTATTCAGGGCCCCGCGGCCGACGACGACGGCGTGCGCGCGCGAAGAAAAAACGAATGTGTCCCGCATGGTATTATTTGACAGGGATGATGGCCCTGGCAGGTGCGCAACCGTTGTCGCAGAAGTTCGAAAAAGTTGCTCGCAAAAGCCCGTTTGACAGAAATGTTTAAAAAGTGTTGGGTTTCCTACGAATCCGCAAGAGCGCGCGGGATGAGATTTTGACATTTTTTTGTTGAAAAACCATTGGTTTTTTGATGTTTTTATGTTAAAATCGCTCCGAACACTAAGCTTTTGGAAGGATTTCGTCTTGCGCGCGCGAATGTCCACTTTACCTTATTTTTTGCAAGGGATTCTTGAAATTTGATTATATTAGAACAAGAAATGTCATTTTATAATGTTTTTTGCAAGGGAAAACGGATTACAACAAAACAACCGGATCTTGATGACATCGTATTACCTGAGGTTTCCTCACGAAAATGATGAAAATGTAGCTGCGGCCTAGGCGGCGCAGGGGGGCCGTGCACCAGGGGTCCCAACAATAATTATTCTTTAGAATTAATAATGTTCAACAACAACCACAGCAACGACAACAACAACAACAACAACAACAACAACACCAACAACAACAACAACAACAAGCACCATGCTAATACTGGTCGCTCGCAAATGCTCGCGTGTCAAACAATATGTTCTCAAAACCTCGAAGCTCGCGCCTTCTCGTTTTTGATCGTATCTCCTTTGTGGTGTATGTCTTCCTTCCCTCCAGAATAACAAAACTAATGAAAAGGGAAGAGAGAGCGAGGAGGAAGGGAGTGAGGAATGGAGGGAGGGAAGGGGGCAAGAGGGAGGAGAGAAAACATGAAGGACGAGAGGGATTAGCAAGAGGGATTGACAAGAGGAGATGGCAAGTAAGTCTCAGCATGAGGCCGTCTCGTGCGAGAGCGCGCCGAGAGAGCGATTCGTGAATATACTGTAAGGAAGTATCTGGTGAGAGCGCGAGTCCTGGATCATTTGCATGGAAGTCTCGGGCGAATGCCCGATGTCTCAATGAATTTTGAAGAAGTGCAAGGCGAAAGCCGTTGTTGTAGTTCGGGGGCCAAGGGCCAAATCTGACGCTCAAGGCTTTCCCTTGGAACAAAACAGGGCGCGAGCCCTGGGAAGGGCACTTCGAAAGGAAAAGCTCAAGGTGCAACTGTGTTCAGGGGGGAAAGCATCAACAAGTGTTTCCTTAGAAATGCGAACTCAACAACAAACAATCATAGCCATGCACCCATGGATGGTGTAAGATCGTTCGGCCCCCTCGCTCTGATAGTATATGTATATACACATATGCAGAGAGAGAGAGAGAGAGATCCTTCACCTGCACACCTCCTGCAGTCGAACTCCTGCTATGAGTGCTAAGGAGCTTCGACGGAGGAGCGCATCATTTCCCCCATGGTCACTCTGAGGCTTTCTGGTGAGGGCCTCGGGAAACACGCGTAAGAACGTCAATTCCTTTCTGATCCCCGCCATATTCGTTGTTTCGACGCCCGGTGACCTCATAATATAGCTCTGTAACTTCCCGAACTTCTGTAAACATTTCAAGACACTGTTGAGTGCCCAGTCTCCTCCTATCCTTCCCCCGCGCGCCGGGGGAGGAGGGGGAGGGAGGAGCGAGGCGGAGAAGTACCAGGGGCGCGAAGGAGAAGGTAGAAGGTCCACCTCCCTTGGTGGCCATCATGCCCTTCATCATCTCCATCATCTGCCAAGGGTCCATGTTCCACCAGTCGCTGCCGCCGCCACCCCAGCTGCTGCCGCCGCCTCCGCTCCAGCCGCCGCCGCCGCTATAATCCTCGTCCTCGCAAGGTTGGATAGCACCAGACGCCACTCCGCTAATAAACGTCTGCAAGGTCGACTCGTCGTGCCTCGCGGGATCGAAATCCTGCGAGTTGTTCTGCTTGAGGAACTTGTACCAAGCCTGCTTGAAGCCGTATCCCTGGCGTTGGATGCTCTTGACCTGCTCGACCAACGTCGTGGCGACACCTCCCGATGCCATCATGGGCATGGTGCCCTCTGTCGGCGCGATTTGACCTGCGTTGGCGGCGTCCAGGAAGCCCTGGAGGAATGACGCGTCCTTCAAGTTAGGATCGAACTTCGGGTGCCCGTTCTCATGACAGTAGTTGTCCCACGCTTTCTTGTGTCCGGGACTCTGGCGCTGCCACTCCTTGACCTGCTCAACCAGGGTGCCCTTGTCGCCGCCAGCGCCATAGCCGCCCCAGCCAGACATCTCGGCGACTCCTCGGGGGCGTTTGAGGCCCTCCCCAACAGGCATCTTCCGCTTATCGCGTTCCCCCCTTCGCCCCACCTCCTAATTCTCTTCTTCCACCTCCTCCTAGCCCTTCAGAGGGGGGTGGAAGGCGTGGGAGAAGAAGGGATGAGGAGAAGAGGGGGGAGGAGGATTTATTTGGACGTGGGCTGAAGTCAAGTCTCAGCTCCTAGCAGCAATGCCACCCACGGGCGGCGAAAAATGGCCACGAGGCCGAGCAAGCAAGCAAGCTGGTAAAGTTTCCTGGAAGGAGGGAGTGCGGGGGAGGAGGAATGTACAATCCACCACAGCGATGAATATCCACCACAGTGCCGTAGGCACAAAGTGGAATGTTCTCAGGTTCAGGCGAGTTCGGTGTCTTAAATTGATGGGCCCAGAGCGCAGAATTCTTGGTGCTCTTAGGCACTTCTGGGCACTTCTGGTGATCGCCACTAATTGAACAATGTTTGAATGTGTTAGGCCCTGGAGGGGAGAACCCGAGCTGACCCAGAAGCCCTCTAGTGCCAAGACGGCCCCCAGAGGCACCCAAGAGGTCCCCGAGAGGCCCCCAAAAGGCATCCCAAGAGGCACTCAGAAGGACTGAGGCCCAAATGCAGCTAGGGTGGCGGGATGGGCCGAGAGCCACTGGATCCGCCGCCCCCTGTGATTTGTGCACAGGGTGTTGGCGCGCCAAAATCAAAAATCCGCCGACCCTGTCGGCGTGTGTGAGGGGCTTGTCTGTTCGAGTCGTCGTCTCCGTCAGCCGTCGCCTCCGTCGTCCCTTTCCTGCACCCTCCTCCTCAAGCTTGTCAGCGAAAGAACAATCTAGCAGTGTCGTAATCGAGTCCAAAGGAAACCCCTTCCCTTTGATCCCTCCCCCGCCTGGGAGGGGGGATCGCGGGGGGGTCGGGAGGGGGGTCCCGGGTCAGATACGCATCCCCGCCCGAGGGTCCCTCAGAAAGACCAAGACAGGCCAAGAGTGCCCCAAGAGGCCCCAGAGACGGTCCAAGAGGGTCCCCAATCGCCAAACGATCGGTCCAAAACGCATTCACGCCCTCCAGACTTCCCAGGAGGCCTCCAGGACGCCTCAAGAAGCCTCCAAGAGCACTCCCGAGAAGGCCCGCAGAGGCCAAATCTCACCAGACCTCTGGGCGTAGGTGATCTAGAACGCTTCTTCCAACCCTCTTCTTCCCCTTCGGGGAGGGGTTTAACACTGTTCCCGATGAATATACACGCCCTCCCCAGGCGACCGGCAGCCAACCAGAAACTATGAGGACACCATGCTCACCCCCCCACCACCCCTGTCAAGAAACAATCCTAAACACACTCTGCCTCCACATTTGGAGCATGCGCGGCCAACCCGATGCCCCCCCCCACCATCCCTGTCAAACACTTTTGGGTTAAGTCTTGAACCATGTCCATGATGCCAGCGATAACTTCGTTGTTTTCAACAGGGACTGCGGGGGGGTCAGCATATTGCCTGCGATGCGCAGGGCGACCGTCCCTTACAACAAATAATACAAAATGCACCCCGCGGCTGAATCTGGATTATGCGAGGCCACCCCGCGAACACTACCAAGTGGTTTTTGACAGGGACGGCGGGGTTGGTGGCGTATGGCCTGCTGTGTGCATTGGTTTTCGACAAGGATGGTGGGTGCCGACATGTTTCCCGATGTTTGCTGTCACGTGCGCAGGCGCTCCTGACATACTCTGCACGTGCCCCGAACGTGGCGCACCTGGCGCGGCTGGAGTATGCGGCGCACCTGGCGCACGCGGAGCACGTGGCGCATCTGGCGCACCAGGCGTGCCTGGCATGTTCGGGCCCCAGGGGTGCATGGCACGCGTGGCGCGCCTGGCACGCGTGGCGCACCTCGCCCCAGCGTCGCGCACGTGGGTTGGTTTTGGCTCCCAGTAGCTATCCATCCAAAGAAGACCGCTGAACACGCTCAGGCTCGGGTGTTACGTATGTATTGGGAGGGCGGGTGGGAGTGAGCTAGCCGGTTTGCTATCTAGGGAGTGTCTTGATCACTGTGCCCTAGATAGCCCCCTCCCCAGTGTTCTCCCACTGGCTTCCCCAACGGCTCGGGCAGCACGCAATCCACTACATGGACTTGATGAAACATTTGCTCAATGTTGTAATTGCGGCGCTCTGGTCTCGCTGGGCTTGAACTTGGTCAGAACCAAGCTCCAAATCAGATATTCGAGGAAATCCTGCGCGAAACGATATCTGTCCTAGTGTTTCGAATCGACTGCGGACTGGGTTTCAAGTCATCTTCTCGAAGTCCCGCGCGAAACGCTGTCTCTCCTATTCTTACGATACGACTTCGAACTGGGCTCCAACTCAGATGTTTGTGGAAATCCCGCAGGGAACACTTCATGCTACATTGCTTCGAACCAGGTTCGAACCACATGTTCGAAGAAGTCCTGCACGAAACGATACTGTTCTACTGTTTGGAACCGAATTCTATTTTTGTGAAACGACTTTCGAACCTAACTCGAACCTTTTTTTGCGAAGAAACTCCACGCGGTTCCGGGCCCCTCCGCTGGCAGCAGGTCCACCCCGTCACGTTGTATGAGGCTCCGCGCGCCGAACGGGGCATCTTCGATCCACGCTTCGCCAGCCTCTCAGACCTTGGGTGATCTCTCATCACGACACAATGGCGTGGCCGCACTTTCGCTCGATATCTCACGACACTGGCGTTTCCAAAGGCATGGCACGGCGGTGACGCGCCGTAGGCACCTTCGACAACTTATCACTACAATAAAAAGGTCAGGTCCTCAACCAGCGAGCTCCGTAGAAGTGGCCCGTCAATCCATCCCATCCTTTTGCTGAATGCCTCGATCTGCTAATCTCTGAACCCAGAGAAGCAAGTTTGTCGTAGCTGCGCTGAGATGCGTAGTAGCTTCCCCAAGACCGTCCCGCTCCTTGCGCATATGGTAGTTGGAGGCATGAGGATAAATAACTGACTAGAACCAGTGTAGGAGATGATCATGGGGAGGAGGGGAAGGAGGAGGGAGGAGGGGTAGAAGAAGGCGGGCGAGGAGAATGATCAGGTGGCAAGCTTGTCTTTCTTTGCTTAGCCTTTCCCTCTTCCACTCCTCCCTCCTTCTTCTCCTCCTCATCCTCCTCCCCCTCCCACTCCCTGTCCATTTCCATATGTTGCTTCCACTCCTTCCTCCTTGTTCCTTTCTCCTCATCCTCCTCATGCCTCCTCCACCTCCTCTCAAATTACCCCTCCTGCTTTGAGACGGTCCAAAACGTCTTTTGAAACATCCGAAGATTAACCTCCAAACATGCTTCCGGTCGGCCAACAGATGCTCCCAGATGGCCGACGTCTGGCCAACACATGCTGCCAGATGGCAGACGTCTGGCCGGCATGCTGGAGAGGGTCCCAGACCTGCGATGCCCTGACCTTTTCAGTACATGTGAGGACCCTGGACCTCTCGACCTCTTCCGAGGGACCCGCTTCTCGTCCTGAATCGTTGTTTGATTGCCCCTTAGCCCGACAGCGGCCCCCCCTGCGTCTTCAGCTTTTGCCAACGACACTGCAAGTCGAAGCAGGCCTCCAGAGGTTCCCAGAGGGCTTCAAAGGTCTGTGGGGCCTCAGAAAGGGCCAGAGACGGCTAGAACCCTGAATCCACGAACCTCGAATCCTCGAACCTGGACAGCAACGACTTTGCCGACGACGGCAAAGCTCCCGACGACGTTTCCGACGACGACGACGCCCAGCCGAGGGCAGAAATCTTTATCCCGGCGCTGTGCCTGCATACGGCTGGCTCCTGTCGTCATGAAGACGTGTACGTTGATTTCTAACACCGCGTAACCTAGAATGATCGTGGCTTTGCGATAGCGCGGACCTTTCGATGTCGGCCGATTCCAGGCCACTGGCGGCGTTCCACCTTGAACGGCAGCGCTAGGGTCGCCGCCGCGCCGACACGACGCGAACAGGACACGGATCCGTGGAGAAACTGGTCCTGGAGCCCAGGAGGGGACCCCGAGAGCTTCGAAAAACTATGCATCACCACTGACCCTCAGGAGCAACATTTTTTCATGGCGACCACTGTGCCCCCCATGGGCTCCCGCCAGTCGCGCGGGCCGCCGATCAGGAGCGGCCGGTGGGGACGCGGGGAGCCCTCGACCGTCGAGGCGGCCGAGAGCGACAATCGGCCTCCCTGAGCCAAAATGGCTGCGGGAGGGCGGGAGGGGTCCCAGGCCCCTCGCCTCCCTCCTTCTCCTTCTCCTGGCACCCTCCTCCCTCCTCCTCCTTTCTTCTCCTCCTCCTCCTCCTCCGCCTCCTCCTCCTCCGCCTCCTCCTTGTCCTTCCTCCCTCCTCCTCCTCCTCCCTCCTCCCTCCCGCATCGCCTGTCCTTGAATGATTCATGCGCGTCGTACCACCAGTCGTGTCAAAAGGCCCGCCCAGGCGTTCCACCTGAGTCGTCCTAACAAGATGTAACTCCGACATGTAGCATTTCCAACATTTACACAGATGGATGCTGGATCCTTTTCAACATGGGGTTGTCGCTTTAGCGCCGTGCGTGCACATTCGTTATACGCATTTGCAGCGTGCTTTTAGTTTGCAACAGCTTCCGCGGACGAATGCCAGGTCCATTGTGGACGTCTTCTTCTTCTTCGGCATTTCGACATTGGGCGGAAAGGGGGGGGAGGGGGGAGGGTCTGGCTCGGGGCCCCTGTTGAATGCGACTGTTTGTAGCAGTGCGTCCTGCGAAGGAGGCTCCACCCGCTCGAAACAAACGCCAAAAACAGCCAAGGTCTACTCCATGGGGGGGAGGGAGAGGGGGTGCGAGGTCCCGCGCCTTTCGGCAAAACACGGAATACACAACGATCAAATTTTAATATGGGGTTCTCGTTTCAGCGCCGCGCACGCTTGCATTTAGACGTTGCAGCAATTATACGGATGGAGGCTGCTACCCCACACGTAGAACAGCACAGCAGGTAGCGAATGGAGGGTGGCTCCTGTTCAAAACTGGGCTCTCGCATGGGATTGTATCACATTCGACAGCCAAAAACTTGAGCAGATTAAGCACCAGTGCGGATGGAAGGCTCCTCATATGAGACCTCTCAGAGTTAATGCCCAACAATGAAAATTGTGCAACGGTCGCAAAGATGGGGGGGGGGGGTCGCGTTGGACACCTCGCTGACCTGTGCATGGTCCTAGTTTGTCGCGCTTCTTGAAATTCGCGAAAAGGACGCAAAGCAAGTCCTTTCCAGAACGGGGTTCCCGCCTGAACGGCAGACCCATCGCGTGCTCGTCTTTCAAGAGGCGCTTCACGTAGGGAAAAGGACGGCTTGTAAGGACTCATGCGAAGTGAGCTCGGGACGGGAGGGTCTACAATATTGCACCATGGTTGAAGCAGTTTGGGCTCACATTGGTTTTCCTTCTCCTCCCCCTCCTCCTTCTCCTCCCTCGCATCACCAGTCCCGTTTCCTCGTAAGTAACTCCTCCCTGTCGCGTCTCCAGACGCGTCGGCAGGGCGGGCTGGATTTGTCACCTGAGACTCCCCCCACCCTTTAAGATCCCAAAGCTTGACATTCGCGAGAGTTTCCTCGAGGGCGGTTGGTTTTCAAAATGTGGTTTTCGCCGCGGCGCCGCGCACAATCGGCTTAAAGATTTGCAACAGCTTCAAGGATGGACGGCGGGCCAAAGTCAAATTGTGGCTCTGGCCTTCGCGACGCGCACAGCCGTGTTTGAATCTGCGGCAACTTCAAAGACGAAGGCTGGATTATTTTCAACGTGTGGTTCTCGCTTCCGCGCCGTGCACATCCGCCTCGAGCATGTGCAACGTCTTCAAAGATTCGCGGCGCTGAGGGTCCAGGAATGGTGTTCTGGCACGCAATTGGATTGTCAAGACGCAATAGTCCCGATAATTCGGGGCGCTGAAGGCCCAGGACTGGTGTTTTGGCAGCGTGGGGGATGCTCAAGCGGTTTTCCAATAGGGCGTTTCCCGCAATGGCAACACATTCTTATAAGACCAGGTCATATCCGCGAGTGGCCCTGTGCTCAAGCGCGAGCAATTGAGCGCGCGCTGTTGAGCGCGCGCTGTAGTTGAGACCGCGCTGTTGAGCGCGCGCGGTTAAGCGCGCCGCTGTTGAGCGCGCGCTGTAGTTGAGCGCGCGCCGCTGGGCGCGCGCCGCGGTTGAGCGCGCGCTGTGGTTGAGCGCGCGCGGTGGTTGAGCACGCGCTGTTGAGCGCGCGCTGTCGAACGCGCGCTGCGAATGCTGCGCGGCGCTGCGTCGCGGCGCGGCGCGCGCGGCGCGCGCCCGCGGCGCGCGCCCAACCGCAGCGCGCGCCCATCACGGCGCGCGCTCGCCCGCAGCGCGCGCTCGACCGCGGCGCGCGCTCAACCGCAGCGCGCGCTCACTGCGCGTGCTCAACCACGGCAGTCCTCCAATGCGCGCTGGATTTGTTTCCGCGCGCCCCGGATTGCGCCCCTCTATAGCGTCGCGCGCGCGCACGGCGCGCGCTCGCGGCATGCACCCGCAGCGCGCGCTCAACCACAGCGTGCTCTCGCAGCGCGCTCTCGCTGCGCGCGCCCTCCTCGCGGCGTGCAATCACGGCGCGCGCGCCGCGCGACGCTCGCAACGTGACTCTCGAGCCGCGAGCGCGCGCCGCGGGCGCTCGCTGCGCGCCGGCCGGCGAACAAGAACGCGAGCGCAAGATGCGAGCGCGCGCTGCGGGAGCGAACAAATCTTCAAGCGCTTGCACGCTGAATTTGTTTCCACGCGTCCCGGACTGCGTTCCTCTATAGAGTTGCGCACGCGCGCGCGCGCAGCGCGCGCCCGCAGCGCGCCCCCGGCGCTCTCGCAGCGCGCTCTCACAGGGTGCTCTCACAGCGCGCGCTCAGCCACAGCGCGCCCTCACAGCGCGCGCTCAACAGCGTCCTCTCACAGCGTGCTCTCGCGGCATTATCTCACGGCGTGCTCTCGCAGCGTGCTCTCACAGCGTGCTCTACCAGCGCGCTCTCGCAGCGTGCTCCCGCAGCGCGCCCGCGCGCCCCCACAGCGCGTTCGCGCGCTCAACCACGGCGCGCTCGCAGCGCGCCCTCGCGGCGCGCTCTCGCAGCGCACTCCCAGCGCGCGCGCGCGCTCTCACAGCGCGCTCTCGCAGCGCGCGCTCAAACGGAGCGCGCCCTCACAGCGCGCGCTCAGCAGCGCGCGCTCGACAGCGCCCGCTCAGCAGCGCGCGCTCAGCAGCGCGCCCTCGCAGCGCGCGCTCAACTGCGCACGCTCCGAAGCGCGCGCTCAGCAGCGCGCGTTCAATCACAGCGCGCGCTCAACCACAGCGCGCACTCAACCACAGCGCGCACGCAGCAACGCGCACTCAACCACAGCGCGCGCTCAGCAGCGCGCACTCAACCACAGCGCGCGCTCAGCATCGAGCACGCAGCGTCGCGAACTCAAACGCAGCGCGCACCCAGCAGCGCGCGCTCAACCACAGCGCGCGCTCAGCATCGAGCACTCCGCAACGCGCACTCAACCGCAGCGCGCACGCGCTCAACCAAAGCAGCGCGCGCTCAACAGCGGCGCGCGCTCAACAGCGAGCGCACATTTGTTGCACGTAAGCGCAGAGACACTCACGGTTAGCCGCACTTCACTCACATCTTAGATCACCCTTCAAGTCTTGCAGGGGTCAATGAAGAGGAACCCTGCACGGAGGGTCCATTGCGACATCGTTGATGCGTCTTGGCTCCGAACTTGCCAACGCCCTCCCCCATGAGAAGAGGTCCTCCTGGGGACCCCCCCCCACCGCCCCGCGGCGGCCGACAGCGCCCGTCTGGCCGGGGCGAGAAGGGCCCCAGGCCCCTCGGCTCAGATAGGGCGCGGCAGTTTCAGAGCGCCCCGGAACGCTCTTGCAAGGTTGCGGAACGCCCTGGAACGATTATCCTCATCCCAGGCCCGCCCAATTCGCATCGATGCGAAACAATGGCGGGCGGCCCGCGGCAATTTTCGCTGCCCGGGGGCCTTCGCCGGGCCCCGGGGCCGCGAGGCGACGAGATGAAGAGCCGGATCTCGCGGAAGGGGTCGAGACTTCCGGGGGGGCCCGTTGCGGAACAGCTCACAACGTCAGTCGTCTAGGGATCGAACGTGCTGCAAGATGCTGTCTCAGAGGCCATCGTGAGCAGGGTGAGGTAGAAAGGATGCTGATGACGAGGATGACAATGGCGGCGACGATGATGGCGGCGGCGAAGATAACGACGGTGATGACGAGGAGGAGGAGGAGGAGGAGGACGGGGGGGGAGGGAGGGAAGGATGTAGCAATGCATGCATTACCGGCAGCAAGAACGATCGGAAAATTGCCACGGCCAGCCCTACTGGCCAGCCTGGGCCAGGGCGCACGTTGTTCACTGGAACCACGCGCGCTTCGCGCGCGCTTCAGGCGAAGCCAGCGTCAAATCTATCGGCGGACGTGCCCTTGCCACCGGGACAATTACCCCGCCTCGGGCTGTTTGGAGGCGTTGTGCCTCGTCCTATCTGGGTCGACGGGGCACGACCTCGCCCGCCCCCACGTCTGGGGGGCGCGACCTCGCCCGCCCCACTTGCTTGCGCGGCTGCTGGATGCCCCTCTCGACTGCCGCAAGCCGTCGAGGCCCTGGCTGTATAGCAGAAACGCCCGACTTCGCAATGTGCGCGACGGTGAGCTCAACTCCACGGGCGCAGCTGCCCTTCGGATAGAAGGCGCGCGCTTGCCCCTATACGGCTCCTCACCGCCAGATTCGCTGCACGTGCCGTCTTTCGCTTGCTCGTGGCAATTCCTATCGCGGCTCTTATTTGCGCCGGGTTGCCCCGCCGCAAGCGGAACCCCCCCCCCGCCTTGCGCGGCGGGGGGCGGCCCCCAGGGCACCCATCGCAATGGGCCGAGCACCTTCCTCGCTGAACCCGGTCGCCGCGCATGCCATCGCTTGCGGCCGCGGTGCTGTTCCCTCTGCGCGGTTTGACCATTTCCCTCCAACGAGGAAAAAGTCTCTGGCCTTCAAGAAGCTTCTCGTGTCTATCATAAAGCGATTGGCACGTCTCGCTCGGGCCATCCCGCTCCATCCTATGGAACGCACCCACATCGGCCACTCCATCTCGATGGCGTTCTACTTGCGACCGAAACAGCGCTTCAAGGACATGAACCGATTTCACGCCGAATACGGAGCAGCCCCATTCTTCAAGAAACGCGCTCCGATTGCGGGCCGCCACCCTGGCGCGCCTCAGATGATGAAAATCGAAGATGGACCCGCCGGCTTCAATCAGCCGATGCCAATCCAGAACCATGGAAAGAATACGCCGCCCCATGGCAAAGCAATTTCGGGCTTCGGCTTCCCCCCTGCGGGTTATGACCCGTCGATTGACGTCGTCGCTTCGAAGGGTGTCTCTGGGGGCTGGCGCGAACTTTGCGTCGAGCGCATCAAAGTACCCGCTAGCAGCCAGCTTCTCACGCGTAACACCCTCGCCCTCGACCTCGCGCGGCCGTCTGCAAGCCGCCCCGGGCCGTCCCGACGCTGAGCTGGACGCTTCATAGACGTCTTGCTTCAGTTCTCAGGAGACGTAAAATTGAGGGGCTCTGCCACTTTGAAAATCTCAGCCGAAGTCATTAGAATCTCAACGACCGTCTGCAGCATACTGGCGGTCGTTCGATGAATCCACACTGGCACCGATTCTTTCGATCTCGAACGGCGGCGGAGCATCTGGCGCATTGCGCTGGGCCTCTGGCGACGGTAGAGGGAAACAATTAGTGAACACCCCCCTGCCCCCAGAACTCAAAGTTGGCACGCGGGGGGGGGACTGCGGTCGAGGTGCAACTCATCAGACCCAACGCCAACTTTGAACTTTGGGGAAAGGGGGAGGCGTTCACAGATGAATGCGGCATGAGTGTTCGCTAATTTTTCCGAGGCCTGGATGGAGCCGAAAAATCTTGCATGGCGGGTTTGCCGCGCTCAGGTCAGTTCGGCGAGTTCGGTAGCCCTCGCGGTTGCAGCGACGGCCTCCACCCATTCATTCAAGGCGCGGCTGCGGCGACGGTGGGACACCCATTGCTTCCGTCTTGAGGCGCCGCAGCATGTCGGGCGTCAGGGAATCGCCGCAGAGGCAGCAGAACTCCCCGACGCAACGGCGCCGGGTCTCCCCGACGCAACACGCGGCAGCGCCTCCACAATTGGCGGGGGGATGTCGCCCACAACTCCCCAGTCGGCCAATTCCCTGACCGCCAGCGGGGATGGGCAATCTTGTTGCCCAGTGAGTGTCCACTCGCCGAACGTGCCGCGTAGCTGGGGGCGGCTGTCTGGCCATGGCTGCCAGCTGTGCGGCGGTTTCCTGATGGCGCTCATTCACCCTTCGGGCGACATTATCCACCCTTGTAGCGGCTCGTAGCGGCTCCTGTCCACGGCGACAACGTGAAGGTCGCAGTCGTCGCGAACCTGGTCGCTCAGGCTAGCACTAACCCTTCCATTCCCTGCAGCCCTGTCAGAGAGGGCCCGAACCTTATTTTGGAACTCCAGGAGAGGAGCCCCTTGCATTGACATCGCATGGCCGTTGATGGAACCCCGTCCGTTCGCGCTGTCCTGTCTTTCCTGGAGGAACGCGAGGGGCTGCGTCATCTCCTGGATGCCGGGCATGATCTCGGCGGTTTCGCGTTGAACCTGAGCTCGCGCAGTTGCAGCATGGTCGCGTTGCTTAATTAGCTCGCTGGTGCGGTTCTCCTACGTAATACCCCGAGTCACAAGTGCATCATGTTTTTTGCGTAGCGTTCCTAATAGTGCCGGTTCGCTCCAAAATGTGGTCGGCTCCCTGTCCACTTGCTCGCAGGTCATCCTGGCGCGCCTGCGCGGTGGCCTGAGGGCCCACAATCTGCGCGCCGTGCGCTGGATATGCGTTTGTGAATTGCGCGAAGGCTGCTTGTTGCAATGCGTTGAGGTTCGCCTGTTGTTGTTGCTGTTGTTCAAACGTGTGCTGGCTAAGGGTTTGGATGCGTTTCCCACGCAATGTTTTCCACCTCGTGCTTTTTACGCAATGATTTTTGAGCGGCGCGTCGAACGCAACGTTTCTCTATGCGCAGTGACCCTCACGCAGTGCCTGTTCACGCGCGAAGCGCCGCGTAGAAAACACCGCGAACGAAGGGCTACGTAGAAAACGCCGCGCAGGAAACTCCACGCATAACACACAATAAACACGATGCGCAAACAGAAACCACGTAGGAAACATAGACGCTCCACGGAGAAACATTACGTAAAGAAACATTGAGTGCAAAAAGAACTGCGCTGAACAAAAAAACACCGCGCACGAAACCGCTGCGTAAATGCACTGCGCGCAACAAACTGCGCAGAACAAACATTGCGCACAAAAACACAGCGTGGAAAACACTGCGCAAGAAACGCTGCGTTGAAAACTCTACACAGGAAGCACTGCGCAGGAAACACTGCGTAGTTCGCACTACTCAACAAACGCCACGTAGAAAACGCCACGCAGGAAACGCGACGCAGAAAACACTACGCAGGACACGCCGCGCAGCAAACGCTACGCGAAAGACGCGGCGCAAGAATGGGAACGTAGAAAACGCAACGCAAGACACGACGCGTAGAGTACACCACGGAATAAACAAACACTACGCTGGAAAGAAAACGTAAAAAACACCCCGCAGGAAGCACTTCGAGGAAAACACTACGCAGGAAACGCTACGCAGGAAACAGCACGCAGAAAACACCACGAAGGAAACACGACGCAGGAAACGCTACGCAGGAAACATCACGCACGAAACACTGCGCAGGAAACACAACGAAGAAAACGCCACGCAGGAAACGCGACGCAGGAAGCACTGCGCAGGAAACGCTACGCACGAGACGCCACGCAGGAAACACTACGCAGGAAGCACTGCGCAGGACACCACGCAACGCAAGAAACTCCACGCAGGAAACACACCACGTAAACAAAAAACTACGTCACAAAAAAAACGCAAGACATAGTGCGTTTTTGATAGTAAAAGCACTTGTGCAAAGCACGGCGTTAGATTTGTAACTCAAAAGTAAGATTTTGATTTCCCGATCAAGCGAACTCTTGCTCCGGGCGGGCCCAGTCGCAGATGGGCCCGCGCGTCTTGTACCTCCGCGAGGAGGTCAGGATGCGGGTCTCATTGCCGCGCACGTTGATGGCGCCCTCTCTGGAGGCCGCGGTGAACGACATCGTCTCGCCATCCAACATATCCGAAGCTCCCCCTCTCGCAAGCGGCGCGCTGGCCAAGGGGGAACTGTGGGCCACCCCCGCGGCCAGATCCCAAGCCTTTCGGATTGCCCATATCCCCGCAAGGCTTCGCCGCCCAGATGAGGCCCGCAGGAGTTCGAACCCGGCGCCCACCTGATCTTCAAGCAACGGATAGGGAGATCCCAAATACACGGACTACGCTGGGGAATGGAAACTGGCTTGCGAGGGGCGCGCGCCCCGACATCGCCGCCCAGGCTACCATGGGCCAACGGATCCTTCCCAAACCTACCGCGGGACAAATGCGACACGTTAACACTCTAGTTCGACGGGCGAAGCAGTTCAGCGCGATGCGATGGCGAACCCGACGCGAACCTCTGGATCGATTGCGACCGGTTGCTCGTGCCGATGCTTCGCACCAGACAGCTGTGGACTCCGGCAAACAAGCTGGGCATGTTATTCCTTAGCGCTCTTTTGTCTGCCAGCGACTGCAAAGACGGGGCACGCTCCTGCCATCGGGGCCGCCGCCAGGCACAGACGCGCCCAAGTCACGACGGGCGAACTCGCCCCCCCCAGAACAAAACCGCCCGTTAGAAGAGACTGGCGGAGGAGAGCGGGGGGGAGGGGCGGAAGACTTGAGCGACGTCAAACGGCGGCGGGCCCCAAGAGAACATCGGAAACCTATGAAACCACAATAATCATTAGCGCTCTTGTGTCTGCCAGCGACTACAAGGGACGGAGCGCGCGCGGGATCCTGCATCCTGCCGCCGAGGCCGCCAGGCACAGGCGCGCTCAAGTCACGAGGGGCAAACTCGCCCCCCCGAACGAAATCACCAGACATGCTTCCGATTCTGCAAACTGGCAACGCCGAAAAAAGGACACTCACTAACCCAAAGATTACAGAATCACTTCGGCGGAGGACCTGATGTCGGCACCGCGGAAGAGACGTGCCAGGGCGACGCAAAACTTTCGTGGATATTCGGCAACTTGTCTGGTTATAAAGCCGCCCTCGGGCAGGAGGCCCCGCGCTGCCGGCAGGGCCGATTCGCGCGCGAACAGATCCCTCGCATGGAGCCCAGACGACGAGAAACCCGAAACGGTCCTGGGTCGAGGTCTCCAAACACGAGCCCAGGTTCTTCCTGGGCGCCCCCCGCTGACGCGCGAAGCGATGTTGAAGGCCGCGGCAGGGCGCCGCGCAGAAAGTTTGAAGCGAGGGGGCAGCCGCGACCTGGGCGCCTCGGAGCTCTCGACACTCCAAGGGACACGCAGAGACAAACTAATGCGCGCAAGTGTGGCCACGAAATTATTCCGAATATTCAACGCAACAATAATCGCTTGCAAATTGGGCTTGAGGTTGGGCAGGCCAAGGAGGTGGAGGTCGGAGCGAAAGGGGGGGGCACCGACCCCGTGGCCGCGGCACCTCGCCAGAGCATTACAAGGGACCCCAGCGCGCCAACCTCTGACGCGGCCCTAACGAGCCCACGAAAGAAGAAGCGATCGATTACAAGGACGCGAGAAGTCGCATTTTTCACCCAGCGCCGTGTCCCGCAACAAAACAGGCATGCCAAATTGGGCCACGGCTCTGGCGAAATCTCCCGCACCCGAGAACAGATTCAAAATCGCGGGCGGGTCGGGCATGCTGGCTGGACAGGCGAGGGCAAGCAGTGGCCCGATTGGCTCAGGCGCAGCGCGCCGGCCTCGGCGCGCCGGCGCCGCGCGGCGGGCAGCTTGTGCAGATGCTCTGTCAGCCAGCCTCCTTTCTCCTTTCTCGCACCTGCACCCGGAACTCCACGACTTCCAGCGGCCCCGGCGGCGGATCTGCTCGAGGTGGCGCACCGCCGCTGCGCTGTCGCGGTTTGGCCCCGAGCGGCGCAGCTGGTTGACGTTGCAGGCCGCAGGCTCGGCCAGTCCCAACGCGCACAGCACATCGCGCCAGGCGCCCGCCAACTCGCGCTGGCTCACGGCCGAGAGCGGCGCCGCGGCAGGGGCCCCCCCGCGGCGGCGCGCCGCCGCAGTCGCCAGCAAGCCCTGAGACAGTCCCGCCTGCCGCTCGAGGTCCAGGCGCACCGCGGCGTCGAACTCGCCTGTCCTGGAAACGTCGCTGGCCCCCTGCTCGCGCGGCGTCGCCGAGAGGTACCGGCGGCCGCCCGACGGAGCGGCCGCTGGCGGCGCGACGTCTTGTAGTCGAAGTCCGCGGATCTCTCCGGGGCGGCCGTAGATCTCGAAGAGCGAGGTTTCGCCACTCTTTCGCCACCCGCTTGGCCAAGGGCAAGTCGCCGCCTCGGCAAAGCGCGGGCCCCGCCACGCCACGGCCGCTATCATCGGGTTGGCGCGCGTCTGGCAGTAGCCCCGGCCGAAGAGGTGGCCGAGGTGGTCGCGCGCGGCCTGGCCCGGCTGCGTCGGCTCGGCCGCGGAGCGACGGCGCTGGCTGATCCGGGCGTCGAATAGTGCCGACGCACGCCTGGCGGCCAGCAGCAGCCCGCGCAGACGCCGCGTTGAGCACAGGCGTGCCCGCAGGCGGCTCAATCAGCCGCGCGCGCTGCCGCGGGGTCGGCTGCGCGCTCGAGCCCCGGCGACTCCGAGCTGGGGTCGCGAGCCGAGCGACCCCGCGCAGGCGCGGCCGCTTGCTCCGAGGGCCGCCTGCGCGGGCTTCCCCAGAGGAGCGCCGAGCTCATGATCGCCTGCAGCGTCGAGACTGCGACGAGGGGGGCGGTCGGCAATACATGGAATAATGCGAAGGGGTTTCGGGCCGTGGCGAGGCTGAAAACAAACCGAGTCGCTGACGCCCAAGACGCCCTCGCGCTTCCCGACCTCTGAGCCGCGGCGCAGCAAGTGCCCCTCGGCTGGTGCTCTGCCTTCTCGCGCGCGCGTGCTGTCCTCTAACTGCAAGGGCTCCAAGAAGGACTCGGGCTCGGAAGACTTTACGGGGCCTTCCATCCTTGCAATTGCCGATGGCGGGCCGGGGCCCCCTCGGCCTCTTGACGGGCCATCGACAACATTGTAATCGGACGGAATCCAACGCGCGCAGAACGAGCTCACTGGGGCAAGAGACAGAGCACCAATGCGACGCATGATACTGAGCACGGCGCGGCCGCGAGCGCGCACCCTGGACGCCGCAGACACCGGCGCGAGAGAATATCCCAGGGCAAGCGAGCTCTTCCCATGGCTCCGAGACGCCCGATGAGCATGGCATACATGATAGAAAACAGCGCGAGCCTCGACGAAGGGCGCCCCCTCGAGACGACCCCACTTGCGACGACCAGCGACGTTCCGCTGAATCTCTTCCAAGCATGTCTTCGGCACCCCGGGGAAAGCAAGCAGATCCCGCTCCACGGGCGGGCCGACGGGCTGGCCGTCGCCCGACTTACAGGCGGGGGCGAGCCGGGCCGCTCCGACCCCCAGGCCGCGCGCTGCGGGGCCTTCGGCAGCGGATTCAGCGGCGTGGGCTCGGCGACGAGGAGGCGGGCGCTCAGCCCTGCCGCAGCGCCACCTCTCACCATGACGACCGACCTCTCGAACAGCGGCCACTTCCCAGTCAGCTTCGCGGGCGCCCAACCCCCAAGGGGGGGCGTCCGCGCAGCCGACGGAAGGGGGGCGCCGAGCGCGGAGGTCACGCCGCAGCAAAGGGGGGGCGCCATCCCCAGCCAAGAACTCCCGCCAACCTGAGACCAGAGCGGCGCCTCCAGGCGGCAGCACTTCCGGGCAATGCGGAAGCACGACTCAAAGATGCCGATGCCCTCGCGGCGCGCGAGGGCCACGGAGACGACGCGCCCCAGCGCGCGCTCGACGCCACGACCACTGGCGCGGCCGCGCCGCAGCAACCCACGGACAGCTAGCCGCGCCCGCCGCAACCTCGAGGCGGCCGCAGACAGGCGGCCTGCTGAGGAGGTGGGCCAGCCGAGAAAAGAATACTCGCCCTCGTTGTCACCGAGGTGCCCCTCGTGGGTCGCGGCCTGGCCCCGACGCTCGAGCTCTGCCATCGCGCGGGCGACAACGCTGCGCACCGCCGTCGCGTCGTAGCCGATGCTGACGAAGTTGCCGACGCGCGCCAGGTGGCCGGCAGGGCCCAGCGGCGGCGCGGGGCGCCCATCGCGAAGGCGCGCTGCATCATCGCAGCCACCTGCCGCGGCGGCGCGCTCCATCGCGGACTGGCACCGCCGCGCGGCCCGCGACCAGCCCGCGCCCGGCGCGGGCAGAGCCTGGCGGAGGCCATCGCGCTGGCGCCGCCCTGGCTGGCAACGCCCAGGGCGCCTGCATGGGCAGGCCTGAGGGCGAAGACGGAGCGCAGCTGCTCCGGCAGCTCCGACTGGTAGAAGGCGCCCTTCAGGTCGGCGCCCTCCACGGTGAGCAGGGCGCCATCGTCGGCCATATCCAGCGCGCCGAAGGCATCGCCAGTTGCCAAGCGCACTCCGAGAGGCCCGTTGGATCGGCGGCAGTCCGCGACCATGCGGAATCGGCCATCTTTCTTCCCGACGAAAAAAATTTCGGCCCTCGCGCCGTCGCCCAAATGGAAATCGGCCAGGCGCCGCCCATGCAGGGGCTGAACAAAACTGGACCAGCACCGCTGATCTCGCAGCAGAGGGTCGGAGTAGGGCGCAGGCGCTGAGCCGCGCCGAAGTCGGGCGGCAGCCTCGCGCGGATCAAGCACGCTCTGCAAAACGAACTGTTCGACCTCGGCTTGCCCGCCCCCCCCCCCGCGCGTCGGCCAGCGGCGCGGGCGCGGAACCGGCGCCGGGCAAAGGGAAGAGCGCGGGGCTGTAGCACCCGAGGGGCGGCTGCTCGACAGCGCAGGCGCCCCCGACCACGCGAAGCTGCACCATCGCTTCTGCGGGGGAAGAGACGAGGGCGGAGGGCCAAGATACTGCGCAGACTCGCCGACGCGGGCGCGGCACTTGCTCTGAGGAAGCGACGGGCCCACATACCTTGCACGTCGGTCACGACTACGCGCAAGCGATGGATCATGAAGCCAATTCAGTGCGTCCACAGCACTGTCAGCATCGTTGCAGACGGCCCTCTTCCGGCTCAGCCTCCTCCGCGCGCCCCTGGCAAGCGCGGGCATTGCGCCCTTCTCCAGCGGCGCCGCAGCGCACGGGCACGTCAGAGGAAGGGCGCCCCGGGGCCGACGTCTCAAAAATCGCGGACATCCCGAGCGCGGGCAGGCCCGCGGCGATCGCCGTGATGGAGGGGCGCTGCATCCGCGCTGGCCCCCCCTTCCGAAGCCAACGCGGGCGCCGAGCTCAACCAGTTTTGCTCCTGGCCGCTCCTCGCGGGCCAGGCGCATCCTCTTGTGCGACTTGGCCTCCATCGCGACATCTCTGCGCACGTGCTCGATCGGGCCTGGCGACACCACCGCTGCCGCAGCCGACCTCGACGCCCCCGAGAACGCGGCCTGCCCCTCCAGACTCATCTTGCCACCGACGCCCTTGCCTTCGGCGCCCCCTACTTCGCCCCAGCGCGCAGGCCTGATAGTCTGGAGCCTCCTGAACTTCACTTCGATGCTAGTGGGGTTCATAGGCCGAGGTGGTCCTGGCGAGTCGCGGCCTTGATCTGCGGGCATAGCGGGCACTGCTCCTGCACCCCCGAATCGGTGGCGCCCAATTCACACATCTGTCGGAAGTGTTCATGATGACCTTCTATGCCGAAGCCTTCCCGCTGCAAGTACCTCATGCGCCAATCAGCGGCCCTCAGCTCAGGCAGCGCCCCGTCAGACCCGAAGTCCTCGCGGCGCGTCATCTCAATCATTTTGTGTTACGCCGCATCCCTGCAGCCCTGCGCGTTGCGCACGATCGGCAGGATCCTCGCGTCGGCGTCCACCGCCTTCCCGAAGAAGCCCTCGAGTGCGATGGGAGACGCAAGCTCGACGAAGAGACCCTGCCCGTCGGGCAGCACATGGACGTCGCGATCCTGCGCCCGCGCCGCCGCCGGAACACGGCCAGGCACCTCGTCGCCGATGCGGTAGCCACCCTCACAAGCAACAGCCCGCCACACCCCAGCGGAGTCAGCGCCGCCCGCGGCCCGGCCCGAGGGGGCCGCGCCGCGCAGGAGGCACTCATGCACCTGGTGGGTGGTGATCCCTGGCGGCGGCAAATTGAATACGCCGAACCTCGCCGCCTGCCCGTCGGCATTGTTGGCGAGGACCACGATGTACAGCTTGCCGTCCGCCGCGTAGATGACGCGGTTGGCCTCTGACGACGCCGCCCATCCCAGATTCAAGTGCTGGTGCCACACCAACCCGCCGGCGTAGAAGACGTATGCCCACTGGCGAAACCATTTCTTTATTGCTTGGGGCATGACGGGCGTCATGGCGCCCGCTCCCCCCCCCTATGACGTAACGCTCCCCCCCCCCAGTGCGCTCTGGGCACTGCCGCCGTGCGCGCTGGGATCCGCGCAGGTGTCCGCGTAAGAATCCGCACGGGACTCTGGTCCGCAGTCGTGGTCGTCGTCGTCGTCGTCGTCGTCGTCGTCGTCGTCGTCGTCGTCATCGCCCGTGGCTCGTCGCTCATCGTCGTCGTGCGCACGGACGCGGCTGGAGCCTGTTTTTTGTTCCGGGCCGATCACGGCAATCATCTGGGGGTGTGGAAGGGATCGATGACATCATGTTTCGCGCCGGCGGCGTCTGGGAATGCCTAAGAATGACGGAGGACGGGTAGCACCAGCATATAGATAACGATCTGCACCACAACGCCTGTGTACACCACAGTGCCTGCGTGCACTAGAGCGCCTGTGCACCACACCGCCCACGTACACCACGGCAGCCGCGTGCAACCAAGCGTCATTTTGTGCCACCGTGCTCGCGGGCACAAGAGCTGCTGTGTACACCGCATCGCGCGCGTACCCCACATCAGCCGTGTACAACACAGCACCACTGTACACCATAATGCCTGCGTGCATTGCAGTGCCTGTGTACACCACTGCGCCTGTGTGCACCACAGCAACCGTGTGCAACACAGCGCCACACTTGCATATCGAATGTTAGAAGGAATCCGTACGACAAAATGGAACGTTTGTGGATTCCACAGAAAACTACACAAAGGAATCCTTATGGACAAAAGAGCGCCGCTGGAATCTGCGAGACCCCCGACTCCGCCGGCATCACCCTAACTTCTCCCATCTGCATCCAGGAGGCTCCAGCTAAATTGGCCGTGCGACAACCAAGTGAACCGATTCAATCGACCATTATGCGGTGCACTGCGCGCTGAATTGCGCACGTGCGCTGTAGCGCCACCCCGCACGACAGGGGGCAAGGAGGAGGAGCTGGAGGAGGAGCAGGAGGAGGAGGAGGAGGAGGATGAGGAGGACGACGACGAAGAGGAAGAGGAGGAAGAGGGGAAGGATGTGGAGGTGGAGGTGGAAGAGGGAAGAGGGAAGAATGTCGCATTCGATTATCGGCACTGTCCTGCACGCAGGCACTGGTGTACAGTCGCGCTGCGTTGCACGCGGATTCTGTGGTGTAGACAGGCGCTGTGGCGTGCACAGGCGCTGCGGTGCACGCAGGTATTGTGGTGTACGCAGGCGTTCAGTTGCACATGGTTGCTGCGGTGTACACATGTACACCGGCGCTGTAGTGTACGCAAGCACTGTGGTGTACACAGGCGATGCGTTGCACACGGTTCTTGCTGTGTACACCGGTGTTGTGGTGTTCGCGCGCGTTGTGGTGCACGCGAACGATGCGTATACAGGCGCAGTGGGGCAGATCGCCACCTACATTTTGCTCGCGTCGTCCTCGTCGTCGTCGTCGTCGTCGTCGTCGCTCGTCGCTCGTCGCTCGTCGCGTCGTGCGCGCGGGCGCGGCTGTGGTGCCGGAACCACACGGCGGGGGGGGGGGCGTTACGTCATCCCCCCCCCCGCCCCCCCGCACCCATGACGCCCGTCATCGCCGAACATGAAGAAACGCTCCAAATCGTCGCCGCCGCCATCACCGAAACCAGTGAGAGCACGGACCCGAGGACAACCGTCGCGGCGAGCGGCCGCGCAGCAGCAGTCCACGCAGGCCGTCGCGAGCAGGAGCCCGATCGCACCACCCAGCAGCCCCGAGGCGAGCGCGCGGACGTCGACTGAGACATCGCCTGCGGCCACCGCGGCCGCTGCAAGGGCAGTTGCCTCAGGCGCCGGAGGCCCCGGCGCAAGAACAGGGGCCGCGCAAGCCGCGCACGCCAGGCAGGCGGGCGCCGGGCACACCGCGGGCGCGACCTCCGCGCACGGCGGGATCGCGGGGCATTGCAGCGAGCACCCGGGGCAAGGAGCGGGCGCCCCGCAGGCCAACGAGCACGTGTTGCACGCGGGACACGATGGCGCCTGCGGGCACCTGGTGAGGTACGACACCACCCCAGTCAGAGCGTGGTTTGCGAGCTTTCCCACATGCTCGAGCGACATCAACGGGCGGAGGACCCCAAGAGAACATCGGAAACCCGTGATATCACGCTAATGCTGCTACGGATGAAATGATGATTCGAAGTCATCTTGCTGGGTGCGCCGCCCCAATCAGCACAGGTGCACGGTCGTCATGCTGCAATCCCAGCCGGCGGCGCTCTTATTCCGACCGCAAGGCGGGCCGACAAAAAAACGCGGGCCAGGGGCGGAACGGGGACGGGCCAGAAAGCGAGGAGCCGAGGAACGAGAAAGGGAGGAGGCGAGGGAGGGACGACGACAAGAAAGGACAGACCGGGCCGACGGACAGAGGGACGGGAGACGGAGAGAGGCGAGAGAGAGGGAGAGGACCCAACGCACAAGGGGGAGGACACACGAGGGCGAGAGGGGGAGGACACGGAGAGAGGGAGGGGAGGGGGAGGGAAGCAAGGAGCCAGAGACAGGGCAGGCAGGAGGGACACACAGGGACCGCGGGCAAGGGGGGGCACGGGCCCAGCTCGGCGGGCAACAGGCGAGACGGCATCGGCTCGTCGCGTTCTACAGTGCACGCGGCTGTGAGACTGGAAAAGGGAAAGGAGGAGGAGGCGGAGGCGGAGAAGAAACAGGGGCATTCACTGCCACAGCGGCGGCACGTGGCCAGGCGACCAACCGCCTACATCCACGCCCAGGGCGGGATCGTGGAGGCGTCGCAAAATGGCCCCCGCGTTTTCCCCGCGAAGGGAACATGACAATCGCTGGGCCATTCGCAAGCTCTCCCCCCCAGCCTCCCCGCGCCAGCAGGCGCTCACGTGCTTGGCAATCGTGCCCAAGGTCTGCCGCGCCGTCTCCCCCCAGCTGCCGCTGTGGGATTCGATGACCATCGGAACAAAAGATAGACCTGCGCCCGTGCACAGTTCCTCTGTTGTGGCGGTCTCTCCAGGCGCCTTAAAAGACCTCTTGAAGTCCTCGTGCGCGCCCAGGACAGACTCTGGGTTCGTCGCAGCGTCTCGTAGCACATCTGCGCGCAGACCCGACGTGCAAGCGAAGTCCAGGGCAGCAGGTGCCCCGCCCAGAGCTCGAAAGAAGAAGACATCGGCAGGGCGTCTCCGGAACCTTGCGACGCCCGGGGCCTCCCCGCCGCCGCTGCCGCGAGGCGCGCCGTCGCCCCGCGGGCGTTCCGGGAGCAGACCAGGTTTCTCCCTCTCTGGGCCCATATGACCCCTCAATGCGTCTTCGAACACCGAGTCCCGAAAATGTAGGTTTGAAATTCGTGTGCTAAGCCGTGGGTTTTTGAATGGCTGGGAGAAACGAAGGGGGTGCTGCTGCCATCGGGTATCTCCATCGGCTGCAGCCCCTTTTTGGCCCTTCTCTTTCAATGAGGAAGGGCCCCTGACGGGGGGCCATAGCGGGCGCCGACCTGCCCGCCGGCCTCCCCGCGGCCGCTCACCCCGGCGCCCCGACTGGCGCCGAGGCGCGGGCTCGGGCCGCGCAATGCTGCCGGCGTGGGCCGCTGCGGCCACGGCTCCCGCGCTGGCACAGCTCGCCAGAGGCTTTGCCCCGAGGGCAGGCTGGGCGCCGCTGCTCCCCGGGTCGGCCGCGGGGTTCGACCGGGACAGGTTTCGGCGCTACATCGACGGCAACTGGACGGAGGCGGGGAACATGAGCGTCGGCAACGGCACGGTGGCCGGCAACCGCGGCAGCTCCGACGGCCGCCCACGACGCTGCACCGACCCTGGGTGGGCGGCACCTGTGACGCGGGCGACGGCGAGACGGAGACGGAGGAGTTCCCGGGCATCCTGATTGTTGGGCACCGTCTCGTCGCCAGCTTCTTCCTTGTCATGGGGCCGGCCGCGGTGGACGGGGGGGTCTACGTGCGGAACCCGATCCGTTCCGCAGGGCGGTTCCTCTTCGGCCCGTCCTGGGACTCCTTCTCGCTGGCGGCTCGGGTCGCCTGCGGGGCGCTGCTCGTAGTCATGATCCTGACGCTGTGTGCTTGGACGCTGGAGTTCGCACAGCGGGTGTGAGTCCCCCTGCGCAGCTTCCTCTCGTGGCGCCGTCAACGCTGCTGCGGCCGGACCGCAACAAGACCATCGCTGTGGCCACCGCCGACCAGCTGAACAAGGAGCCCCAGCAGGTGCAGTTGCACGGCCCAGGACTCGGGAGGGAGCCGCCCACGAACTTCTACCGGGACCTGAAGACCGCACTCAGGTCGGGCAGCCCGCGGCACGTGGTCTTCGCAATCGACGGCCAGATCGCCAGGGTGGCGCTGCGCTGGAGCGATGCGAGGACCAACGCCCACGGCAACATCGTTGACTACGAGGCGGCGCACGGAGCGACGTCGCGGCGGCTGCGGAAGGACCACGAGAAGGCGACGATCAAGCGCCTCC